ACATTGGATGAAGAACTACGCTTCATCCATCAAACGCCGCAGGACAATGGTAATCCGAAGAAGTTCATTGATAAGAAAATTCGGCTCACTTCGGAGAAGGAAAACGCAATCTTTGTCCCCAAGAAAGAACTATTCATAAGGATCTCATTTAAGGGGGACTCACACACCGAGGGCCTAGTACAATCACTGAAAGCGGCTGTAAATTCCACCTTCCCCGCAGTAAAACTTAGACCAGTGTTCTCTATATCGCCGGTGATGCGAATGCAGATGAAAGACAAACTGCCGAAACTGACCTCATCCGTGATAATCAACTCTTAAGTGCGTCTGTGGCGCGTGTTACATAGGTCGTACGGTAGGGCGTTTGTCTCAACGTGTTAAGGAGCATCACCCGCGACGGTTGAATCAGGGAAAAAACGGCTGTATTACAAGCGCGATTGAGGCATCTCGTCGACACCGGGCACAAGATCGATCCGGAGAAAGCTTTTGATGTGGTTTATCGCATCCCAATCAATCGCTCGAGGGCGGCTCGAATTTGGACACTAGCTATGGCCGAGGCGATCGCCATTCGCTTACTAGGCCCCGACCTGTGTACGATTGTGCAGGCGCTCCAATTGCCTTGGCCGTGTGTAAAAACTAAGACGGAATATGACGTGTCACTTGATTCAAGTGGAGGAAGGTCACATCAACTAACACATTAAGCTTTCTTACACACACACCCACCCATTACTCTCGACTCCCGAGTATTGACTTTAAAATGAGGCAATGGCTACGATTATGCAAGAATTTTTCCACCATATGATATGACTAGGAATATCCGAAAACAATCGTTCGCTCACCGACTCGTTTTCTCAGTGCTATTACCATTGTGTGACTGTGTGGGACAAACACCCTAAGTAATAATGTTATTATCCATGTTAACAATACAGATCCGAAAAAGGTGCTTACGTTCCCTTAACAAAAGGACTACTATGCAACCGACATCGAAGAAACGAGTGCAACCAATCAAGGGATTCCAAGAAGAATAGAGAGAAATGATGAAGTCAGGGGTCGGGTGGGTACAAGGACGACGATGGTGAAAATCGCACACACACAATCTTTGGTGCGATGGATGGTGGACATCACCATTTATGATCAGGTGGCCGTGAGTCGAGTGTGATTTGCTTTTTGCACTCATCGTTACACAAACACCTGCTTCCCTTCGCTTCAGGATAAATGCTAAACTGTAGGAAAGGGAGTAGTAAAATGGTATTCCACAAGATTGGGTCGGTAAATCACAACGTATTATTACTTAAGGTATTGTAACACCACATTCCAGTAATTAGTACAGATCCACAAAGCTCCTTTTGAGCGCGCTCACGTCTGATTAAATTAGTTCCCGTGGTCATCGTTTTTCATCTTCGGTCGCGTTTTGTGATATTCGAATGAGGAGTTCAATCCTTCGCTCGTGATTTCTAGCATTATCATCAGCTTTTTTACTGAATAGTACTAAGAAATCTTCTAGAAAACAAGAGGTCTGCTGCATACGTAAAAATGCATTGTATACAGCTTCAATGATTCCGAATCATTAGATAGTTAGATGATAACTTAATCAGCCTTGTAGAAATTGAATTAAAGATGTACGAGCACAAATTGCAGTGCATTTTATATCTGTGTTTTAATGCGCGACACTAAACAAATGGGAAGGGAATGAGCATAAAGAGTGTTTGTCTGATTCAGCTTACGCGATAATTATTCAGAAGGCTTTCCACTCTGTTTTGAATCAGAGTGAACTGTGACTCCATTTTGTTAAGACGGTCGCTTTGAGCAGTAACTCGAGCCTTCAATTCGGACTCAAGTTGACCGCGTACTTGAGTTAATTCGTTCAGCTCGGTCGTTTTCGAGGACAGCTCTTTGCCCAACGCCCGGAGGGCTTTGTCTTTCTCCTGGAATACGGAAAGGATGAAACGGGATGGAAGGACAATTAAAAGATGCACGGTTACCATATCGGCTAGTGTCATTTATCTGGTATTTAACTGCAGTACCCATAACAACAGTAACGAACCAGGCACAAAAGCGAAACAAGATGCTCAGAGTGTAGTCATTGGTTTTATTCTACTGGCTTTCACACGCTTATTCATCGGTATGATTCGCAAACTCACAGTGAAGTAGCACGAACGCTTACCTCTATCAGTATTATATCTAGAAAAAGTATTATTCTGTTCACTTAAGCGATAACACGTCATATGCAACTGAACTATCTACGATCCATCAAACTGAGGAGAAGACTTTAAAACTAACTCACTTTACTCAAAATGGGAGGGGGCAAATACAAATCACCAGCGCGCCAAATTTTACATTTCATTTGAGTTACAACACTAACGTTGATGGAGGAATGGACCAGACAGAGCCATTGTACTTCCATTTGAAGCGGGCATAGCTTGGATACTCTCATCAGTAACCAGGGCTTAGGAGTGCTAGCAATCTGTTCAGCTGCGGAGCATCATTGATCCACGACAGGTGGAGAGAGGAGTATATAGCTATGCCACTTTCATCATCACATACCTATTTTTTTTATCACACACATTTGTATGATGAACAGCAGATGGGATTAAGCCATAGTCACAAAGACTTGCCGTTCAGTGATGGAAACCGGTCATTTAAGCCCCGAAACTTGGACTGGCAAACCACATAAGGCCTCGCTAGGTTAGGCGTTGTATTGAACCAGAAGACAGCGAAGCTGCCTACAACTAAAACATGCCTATTTGGTCGCTAACTCTTGGATGATACAATTAACCAGCAATGAACATAAGATAACTTGGAAAACGACCGGAGTAAAGGAAAAAAAATATTTAGTGTTTTCGTGGATAGCAGCCATGAAATGGACGAAGATGCCTTTGAGGGGCCAAATCAATCCATTGTCCCCTGGTCCTTTGAAAACTGTTCTTCGCCACCAGTTAGCACTATCTGAGGCAATGGTTGTCCACCTGTTCAATGAATCCCAGTGCTTCAATAAGCGATTCTTCAAGAAGTTTCAAATAGTATGGTCTTGTGTGGATTTAGCACGGATTTAGCAAGCAAGGGGGTTGACCTATCATCCGTCGATAATCCACTTCGGGTGGAGAGAATCAGGAATGAGTGGTAACGTTCTCATGTTACAGGAAAGGGTAACAGAAATAGGATAAACATACAGGTGTTGACCAAACTCGTGCAACATCACCCTCATTTTGAAAACCCATTTCAGCTTGCAATAGCATACTTATATATAGATGGTTATGGGTACAGTGTATTTATTCCTGACTTTATCTCCAACATCTACGTTCTTAGTTCATTTCTACCACCATTTGAATGTGCGCGACCTTGAGTGTCGCTAT